TTCACAAATGCCTACCTTTAAAAAAGGGCAATCATATTAACTCTGTCTGTTCTTCCCTGGCTTGGATCATATTTTGAAAAAAGAAAGAACTAAATGGAAATAACAATGAACTTCCTATGTTTTTGTGCTAAATTTTATAATTTCTGCCTGGGTATCAAAAACTTGGCTGCCTGTAACAAATGGCAAACATTTAGCCCAACGAGTTCTTCCCTTGCTGGGATCATCCTCTGAACCTTCCTCCTTCCTGCTTTCCATTTCACTACACTACATACAATAAATATAATCATTCAAAGGTTTCACAATACTCACGCTCAATAGACCTTTGCAAACCCTACAGTGAAAAACAAATAAAACTTTGTAGCTTTCATTTGTTGGGCCCCTTATAATCTGCAACACTTGACAGGCAAATTGTTTATTCTGAAGAACCATCAGTACACAGTCCACTATATAAAAGTTCCTTTGAGAGATATGTGGCCAAAGTCCAGTTTAAGGATTCAGGGCGCAGCAAGATTATCTAAAATATAATCTTTCAAAATTCTGCCTTTGGGAAGGCAATGCATTTTTTGCTCTGTGAATTCTTCCCTGGCTGAGTTATATTGCGACAAGAAAACTTTTCCTTCTTCCTCAACTCCACTTTCCCACTAAAAAGAAAACAAAAAAATCTCAATACTCACTGCCAAGGCTCCATTCGCATCAGAACGTAAATGAAAAGCAGATTGAACTGATTAGCAAATGGTTGGAGATCCAGTCACAGATATGGCAATGAACACATAATTGGGTCAATACAAGTACTACAAGATCCTTCAAAGCGTTAATTCATCACGCCACAGCAAGCTAAACTCAGCTTTGGAACACATTTTTAAAAGAAAAGCCTTACTAGCTTTTCAGAATATCTTTTAAAGGAAAAACTTTAAAGAAATTCCTGAAGTAAGTGCTATCATAGTTTGAGGTCTTGTTTATTCTGTTATATTTTACTCCAAGAAGCCCATTTATCCTCAATAGAACCCCATAAGTGGAGATTGTATGTAGATAATGTGATCCCATTGAGATCCAGAGTTGAAAGTTTGGCAAGGATCTTAGAATATTAAATAAATACATTTTTGGAAATTTATATATAAATATAATAATTTTAATTACTTTTTAAAATTTTAGAATTGTAATTAATTGAACACTTAAAGTAAGTTACATCATACACATGTATTGCAGAGCTTTCCTAAAAATGCCTCTCTTAAAAGCCCAGATTCTTATTTTCAAGGTAAAACTATTTTCTGAACAAAGGGAATCAGCTGCCAAAACAAAGATATATAGACAGAGCCAGGCTTGCAGGATTTAGAAAGGCAATTTTAGACCCTGGATGGGCCTAGAATTGCATTTGCAGGGGGATTCAAACAAAACAGACCATATAGGTAGTACACAAAGACTTCAAATACTTCACTTCCAGTGTCGAATGCACCTGAGGATCCTAAATTGAAAAGCAAATGGAATTACTTGGGCTTTTATGTACTCTTAACACTATGTCAGGTGCCCACCTATACAGAGGAAAGTCATCTACTTTGAAAGGTTGTCAGCTATTTAAAAGTGCTCTCTATATGAAGGGAGATCAAAGTCCAGATACATATTAATCACTGCTTGGGGAGATCTACAATGAGACGCCCCAGCTTTCATTTCCTTAATGGGAGCTATGAATGTAGGGGGCAGCAAATGATTTGACAATGCCTAGCTTTAAGAAAAGGGCAATCATATTAGCTCTGTTTGTTCTTCCCTGACTCGGATTCTCATTTTTTTTTGGGGGGGGGAAGAGAACCTTACTCTTTCTTTGCCGCCTTCCTCCTACTTTCTATTATGGACTACGTAAGAACAAACAATGGTTCACAATACAAACATTCCCTTTTCTCAACAGCACCCTAAATGGAAATAAATGGAACTTCTCACTACAAACCATAGAAAACCATAGAAAGCTTTCACAATACTCACTTTCAACAATTGATCTACAACCTACAGTGAAAAGCAAATTGAACATATTAGGCTTTCATGTTCTTGCACGACATATATGCAATACTTGACACAGGACAATTGTTTATTTCTGAAGAACCATCAACACAGTCCACTGTGTAAAAGTGTCCTCTTTTGAGAGAAATATTTAGCCAAAAGTCCAGGATTTTAGCCCATTTCCTTCCTTGAATCTTTCCATACCTTCTGGAAAAAGGCTGGCAAATAATTAGTGCCAGCCAAATGGCAAACATTATCGCCTAATGTATTCTTCCATGGTTTGGGCATCTATGAGTCACAGAGAGTTCCTCCTTCCTTTCCTTCTCTTCCCCATTTTACTGTAACAAACCATACGTAAACACACTAAGCTTTCGCAATACTCACTTGCAGTTTCTCTGGCAGAGCAAGTTTTAAGTAAAAAGCAAATTGAATTTATTAGATATAGTGTCTGGCCAAAGTTCGTATTTATGGATACATAAATGTAAAAATGAGACCTGCAGGGGCAAGCATATTATCTTGAATATCTAAAAAATTCATTGCTTTAGGAAAGGGCAAGCATTTTAGCTCTGTGAATCTTCCCAGCATGAGGTTATATATTGTGACAGAGAAACTTTTCCTCCCCTCCCGAACTCCCTTCACTTTCCCCACTACAAATCATATAGGAAACCCGCTCAAGAATCACAATACATTCATGGCTGCATCTCATCAAAGACCCTAAAACTGAAAAGCAAATCGAACTGATTAGCAAATGGTATGGTTGGGAGATCCAGTCCCAGGTGTGCTACCTAACACATAGTTTTTATCCTCAAGCAGGAATTCTACCATTTCATGTGGCAAAGACAAAATAAAAGGCAAACCCAGCAACTGATTCAGTCTCACTTGTTGTGCAGTTGCTTCATTTTTGCCAATTCTTTTCTTGAATTCTTCCATACCTTCCGAAAGGAGGCTCCCTATTAACAGCCAGGCTGATATATTTGGTATGGAATTCAGTCTCCTATTCATTAAGTTAGAAGAGGAGGTAAAGGAGAGCAGACTGTCCAACTTGCAAAGACAAAGTAATAGTGGAAATATTTGTATGACTTTCTTGGACATTCAGCCTTCCTTCCTCCCTTCCTCTCATATTAACTACTACAGACCATAGTAGTAATCACACAAAGGTTTCACGATACTCACTTTCAACGTGTCCCCAACCAAGTTTCTAAATAGAAAAAGCAAATTGAATTTATTAGACAAGTTATTTGGAAACCTTATAATTTGTGCTACTTACAGAGGACAATTGTCTTTTCTGAGAGCCATGAGTACACAGAACTCTATGTAAGGTATCCTGGCCAAATCCAGTTTACGGATACAGAAATTGGAGAAGGGAGACTTGCAGGCCCTCCTGTTTTGTTTCTCTTTCTAGTTCTTGCCCATATTGAGGATCATATCATAGCATGAAAGGATGCTATATGTAATATTGATGTTTCAGCAGCTACAGTGGAAAATGCATGGTGGGAGATATAGACACTGAAATGGCACATAGCACATAGTTTCATCCTCAGCAGGGATTCCCTCTTTCCTGAGGAAAGATCAGAATAAATAAAGCAAACGGATCTAAAGGCAGTCTCACCATGTCCCTATTTATGCCAATCTCCTTTCCTGGGTAATTCCATGGCTTCCTGAAAGGAAGGCCTCTCAAGTAACCAGGCTGATAGATTTGTGTGGGACGTCACTCTCCTTTTCCATTAAGGTTAGAAAAGCAGATGAAGGAGAGTTGAGTGTCCAATGGGCAAAGACAAATATTAGTGGAGATGGGGCATAACATGGAAAATTTGAAAGTGCTTTCATGAAACTGCCTGGAGGTTCAGCTATACTAGTTACAGCTAGGTCCTGCTTACAGACCTTTCCTTAAAAAACACCTTTATTAAAAAACCCACAATTCTTATTTCCAGTTCAACAATTTTCTGAAGAGAAGAGGATGCCTTGCCCTAGCGATCAGCTGCCCCCCAAAAGGATATGAATTAGAGCCCAGGATGTGGGGTTCAATAAGCAATTTAAATTCCTGTGGGCCTAAAATTTAATTTATTAGCTAGTCTTTACTCACAGCTAAATCTTCTATACCGAGAGTGCCAGAAATAGGAGACTTCAGCATCAAAAGGCAGAATTTTAACCATATTTTCATAAACTGCGTATAAGATCCAAAGAGATACCAAAACGTCTAAGAAAATGTGATCAAGCTTGTTGCTTTTGCAACCAAACTTTTCAATATATTCTTTCTGGAAATATAGACTGAATTAAACACACAAGGATCGAACAGTCAGCTATGAAGAGAAGAGATAACTCAACCAACAAAGGTTCCTTTTGTAGCAAACTGATTAGAACTGGAGAACAGATTGTCATATACTTCCTGGCTGGGATCATACTTTTGAGGCAGAAAAACTCACTCTCTCCCTCCCTCCCAGTTTCCCACTCCAGAGCATACAATAAATACAAAGCTCCCACAATACTCACGTCCGCTAAACAGACACACCAGACTCTAAATTGAACAACAAAATGAAACTGATTAGCAAATGCATCGTGGAGCTCCAGTCACAATTATGCACACAACATAGTCTTTATCTTGTCAGAGATTTTCCATTCAGAGGGAAAATGAGAGTTTACAGGCAACCATAGAAACTGATTTCTCTCACGTGCGTACAGCTCCTCTTTTAGCCAAATTTTATTTCCTGAGTATTCCATACTTGCCTGAACCTCTAAGAAAAAATGTGATCAACTTGTTGCTTTTGCACAAACTTTTAATTTATTATTTCTGGAAATGTAGACTGAATCTAACACGCACAGGATCGGACACTACTATGAAGAAAGAGATACACAGCCAACAAGGTTCCTTCTATAGTAAACTGATTAGAAATGGAGAACAGATTGTTTGTCATTTTCTTCCCTGCGTGATATATTTTGAGCAAGCCCCTCCCCCAGTCTCCCACTCCAGATCATACAATTTACAGGCAACTAAAGTTTACAGCAAACTAGGGATGAGAAGAGCAGATAAAGAAGAGCAGACGCTCAACGTGCAAAGACAAAGTAATAGTGGAAAATGTGTAAAAGAACAACAACAAAAAGTAACTTATGTAAATTTGAAAATATTTTCATGGAATTGCTTGACATTCTGCTGCTAGCGGTTGCCAGCACATAGGATATATAAGTTATTGATGAGGCTAAGTTTTATAATCCTTGGTTTGGAATTCAAACTTCATTGGAGTAATATGCCTACCTTCACAAATGGAAAACATTATAGCGTAGTGAATTTCACCCCAGTGGATCATCCTATGAGCAACAGAAGACCTTCTACCTCCTACTACAATATCTAGGGTATGAAGATTTCTCAATACTCACCACTAGTTGCTCCACCCAAGAAGCTAAATTGAAAAGGAAATTCAACTTGTATCTGTCATGTTCTTTAACATGTAAAATGTCATGTAAACACATATTTAGGTCCTAAGGCAAGGATTCCCCTATTCACCAAGGAAACATCAGAAGAGAAGGAAAAGCGATCTGAACTAATTCAGTCTCATGTGCATCACAGCTGCCTCCATATTATGTCATTTTTCTTACAGAGCAATTCTATAACAAAGGAGAAGAGGCCGACCAATTGCAAAGAGAAGGAAATAATGGAGGTGGGCTAATGCGGAAAATTGAAACCCTTTTCAGAAAATCATTGGGTGTTCATTGGTCAATCTTTGCCAGCAGATCCTGCTCCCATATGTTGGGAGCAGGATCTGGCTGGCAAATAGTATACCCAAATGAACACCCCAATGATTTTTCTGAAAAGGGTTTTCAGATTTTCCGCATTATGCCCCACCTCCATTATTTCCTTCTCTTTGCAATTTGGTCGGCCTCTTCTCCTTTGTTATAGAATTGCTCTGTAAAGAAAAATGACTAATATGGAGGCAGCTGTGATGCACATGAGACTGAATTAGTTCAGATCGCTTTTCCTTTCTCTTCTGATGTTTCCTTGGTGAATAGGGGAATCCTTGCCTTAGGACCTAAATATGTGTTACATGACATTTCTACATGTTAAGAGAACATGACAGACTAACAAGTTGAATTTCCTTTTCAATTTAGCTTCTGGGTGGAGCAACTAGTGTGAGTATTGAGAAATCTTCATACCCTAAGATTTGTAGTAGGAGGTAGAAGGTCTTCTGTTGCTCATAGGATGATCCCACTGGGGGTGAAATTCACTACGCTATAATGTTTTCCATTTGTGAAAGGTAGGCATTATTACTCAATGAAGTTTGAATTCCAAACCAAGGAATTATAAAACTTAGCCTCATCAATAACTTATATTATCCTACTGGCTGGCAACCAGCATAGCAGAATGTCCAAGCAATTCCATGAAAATATTTTCAAATTTTACATAAGTTACTTTTTGTTGTTGTTCTTTTACACATTTTCCACTATTACTTTGTCTTTGCACGTTGGACGGTCTGCTCTTCTTTATCTGCTCTTCTATCCCTAGTTTGCCTGTAAATTCTTTAGTTTGCCTGTAAATTGTAGGATCTGGAGTGGGAAACTGGGAGGGAGGGCTTTTCTGCCTCAAAATATGATATCACTGCCAGGGAAGAAAATGACAAACAATCTGTTCTCCAGTTCTAATCAGTTTACTATAGAAGGAACCTTTGTTTGGCTGTGTTATCTCTTCTCTTCATAGTAGTGTTCGATCCCTGTGCGTGTTAGATTCAGTCTACATTTCCAGAAATAATAAATTGAAAAGTTTGTGCAAAAGCAACAAGTTTGATCACATTTTTTCTTAGAGGTTCAGGCAAGTATGGAATAACTCAGGAAATAAAATTGGCTAAAATGAAGGCAGCTATACGGCACGTGAGAGTAAATCAGTTTCCTATGGTTTGCCTGTAAACTCTCATTTTCCCTCATGAAGTGGAAAATCTCTGACTGAGGATAAGACTATGTTGTGTGGCATAATTGTGACTGGAGCTCCCACGATGCCATTTGCTAATCAGTTCATTTTGTTGTTCAATTTAGAGTCTTGGTGTGTCTGGTTTAGCGGACGTGAGTATTGTGGAGCTTTTGTGTATTTATTGTATGCTCTGGAGTGGGAAACTGGGAGGGAGGGAGAGAGCGAGTACTTTTCTGCCTCAAAGTATGATCCCAGCCAGGGAAGTATATGACAATCTGTTCTCCAGTTCTAATCAGTTTGCTACAAAAGGAACCTTTGTTTGGTTGAGTTATCTCTTCTCTTCATAGTACTGTTCAATCCTTGTGTGTGTTAGATTCAGTCTATATTTCCAGAAAGAATATATTGAAAAGTTTGGTGCAAAAGCAACAAGCTTGATCACATTTTTCTTAGACGTTTTGGTATCTCTTTGGATCTTATTACGCAGTTTATGAAAATATGGTAAATATCTGCCTTTTGAATGCTGAAGTCTCCTATTTCTGCACTTCGGTGATGAAAGATTTAGCTGTTGAGTAAAGACTAGCTAATAAATTAATTTTAGGCCCACCCAGGAATTTAAATTGCTTTGATTGAACCCCACATCCTGGGCTCTATTTCATATCCTTTGGGGGCAGCTGATCGCCTAGGGCAAAGGCATCCTCTTCTCTTCAGAAATTGTTGTACTGGAAATAAGAATTGGGGTTTTAATAAAGGTGTTTTTTAAAAGAAGGTCTGTAAGCAGGACCTAGCTGGAACTAGTAATATAGCTGAACCTCAGGCAGTTTCATGAAAGCACTTTCAAATTTTCCATTGTTATGCCCCATCTCCACTATACTTTGTCTTTGCCATGGACACTCACTCTCCTTCATCTGCTTTTCTAACCTTAATGGAAAAGGAGAGTGACGTCCACACCAAACTATCAGCTGGTTACTTGAGAGGGACCTCCTTTCAGGAAGCCATGAATTACCCAGGAAAGGAGATTGGGCTAAATGAAGACATGTGAGATGCCTTAGATCCGTTTGTTTATTTATCTGATCTTTCCCTCAGGAAAGAGGGAATCCCTGCTGAGGATGAACTATGTGCTATGTGCCATTTCAGTGTCTATATCTCCCACCATGCCATTTTCCACTGTAGGCTTTGAAACATCAACATATTCATATAGCATCCTTTCATGCTATGGATATGATCCTCAATATGGGCAAGAAACTAGAAAGAGAAACAAACAGGAGGGCCCTGCAAGTCCCCTTCTCCAATTTCTGTATCTTAAACTGGACTTTGGCCAGGATTACCTTTTACATAGAGTTCTGTGTACTCATGGCTCCTCAGAAAAGACAATTGTCCTCTGAAAGTAGCACAAAATTAGAAGGTTCCAAAAACTTGTCTAATAAATTCAATTTGCTTTCTATTTAGAAACTTGGTTGGGAGACACGTGACAGTGGAGTATCGGTGAAACTTTGTGTGATTACTATATGGTCTGTAGTGTATATGAGAGGAAGGGAGGGAAGAAGGGCTGAATGTCCAGGAAAGGTATACAAATATTTCCACTATTACTTTGTCTTTGCAAGTTGGACAGTCTGCTCTCCTTTACCTCCTCTTCTAACCTTAATGAATAGGAGACTGAATTCCATACCAAATATATCAGCCTGGCTGTTAGATAGGGAGCCTCCTTCGAGAAGGTATGGAAGAATTCAAGAAAAGAAATTGGCAAAAATGAAGGCAACTGCACAACAATGAGACTGAATCAGTTTCTGTTGGTTTGCCTTTATATTTTGTTCTTTGCCACATGAAATGGTAGAATTCCTGCTTGAGGATGAAACTATGTGTTAGGTAGCACACCTGGGACTGGATCTCCCACCATACCATTTGCTAATCAGTTCGATTTGCTTTTCAGTTTAGGGTCTTGATGTTAATGCAGCCATGAATGTATTGTGATTCTTGAGCGGGTTTCCTATATGATTTGTAGTGGGAAAGTGAAGGGAGTTCGGGGAGGGGAGAGGAAAAGTTATTCTCTGTCACAATATATAACCTCATGCTGGGAAGAATTCACAGAGCTAAAATGCTTGCCCTTTCCTAAAGCAATGAATTTTTTTAGATATTCAGATATAATCTGCTGCCCCCTGCAGGTCTCATTTTTTACATTTATGTATCCATAAATACTGAACTTTGGCCAGACACTAATATCTAATAAATTCAATTTGCTTTTCTACTTAGAAACTTGCTCTGCCAGAGAAACTGCAAGTGAGTATTGCGAAAGCTTAGTGTGTTTACGATATGGTTTGTTACAGTAAAATGGGAGGAAGAGAGAGAAGGAAGGAGGAACTCTTCTGTGACTCATAGATGACCCAAACCATGGAAGAACTCATTAGGCGATAATGTTTGCCATTTGGCTGGCAACTAATATTATTTGCCAGCCCTCTTTTCCAGAAGGTATGGAAAGATTCAAGGAAGGAAATGGGCTAAAATCCTGGACTTTTGGCTAAATATTCTCTCAAACAGAGGACACTTTACACAGTGGACTGTGTTGATGGTTCTTCAGAATAAACAATGTCCTGTGTCAAGTATTGCAAAATATATGTCGTGCAAAGAACATGAAAGCCTAATATGTTCAATTTGCTTTTCACTGTAGGTTGTAGATCAATTGTTGAAAGTGAGTATTGTGAAAGCTTTCTATGGTTATTCTATGGTTTGGTAGTGAGAACGTTCCATTTATTTCCATTTAGGGTGCTGTTGAGAAAGGGAATGTTTGTATTGTGAACCATTGTTTTGTCTACGTAGTCCATAATGGGAAAGTAGGAGGAAGGCGGCAAAGAAAAGAGTAGGTTCTCTTCCCCCCCCCCAAAAAAAATAGAATCCGAGGTCAGGGAAGAACAAACAGAGCTAATATGATTGCCCTTTCTTAAAGCTAGGCATTTGTCAAATCAATTTGCTGCCCCCCTACATTCATAGCTCCCATTAAGGAAATGAAAGCTGGGGCGTCTCATTGTAGATCTCCCCAAGCAGTGATTCATTATGTATCTGGACTTTGATCTCCCTTCATATAGAGAGCACTTTTAAATAGCTGACAACCTTTCAAAGTAGATGACTTTCCTCTGTATAGGTGGGCCACCTGACATAGTGTTAAGAGTACATAAAAAGCCCAAGTAATTCCCATTTGCTTTTCAATTTAGGATCCTCAGGTGCATTCGACACTGGAAGTGAGTATTTTGAAGTCTTTGTGTACTACCTATATGGTTCTTTTTGTTTGAACCTCCCCCTGCAAAATGCAATTCTAGGCCCATCCAGGGTCTAAAATTGCCTTTCTAAATCCCTGCAGCCTAGGCTCTGTCTATATATCTTTGTTTTGGGCAGCTGATTTCCCTTTTGTTCAGAAAAATAGTTTTACCTTGAAAATAAGAATCTGGGCTTTTAAGAGAGGCTTTTTAGGAAAGCTCTGCAATACATGTTGTATGATGTACTTACTTTAAAGTTTCAATTTAATTTACAAATTCTAAAATTTTAAAAGTAATTTAAAATTATTATATTATATATATATAAATTTCCAAAAATGTATTTATTTTAATATTTCTAAGATCTGCTTTGCAAACTTTCAACTTGGGATCTCAATGGGATCACATTATCTACATACATCTCCACCTTATGGGGTTCTATTGAGGATAAATGGGCCTTCTTGGAGTAAAATATAACAGAATAAACAAGACCTCAAACTATGATAGCACTTACTTCAGGAATTTCTTTAAAAAGTTTTTCCCTTTAAAAGATATCTGAAAAGCTAGTAAGGCTTTTCTTTTTAAAAATGTGTTCCAAAGCTGAGTTATAGCTTGCTGTGGCGTGATGGAATTAACGCTTTGAAAGGATTCTTGTTAGTACTTGATATTGACCCATTATGTGTTACTTGCCATATCTGTGACTGGATCTCCATACCATTTGCTAATCAGTTCAATCTGCTTTTCAATTTAGCGTTCTGATGCGAATGGAGCCTTGGCAGTGAGTATTGAGATTTTTTTGTTTTCTTTTTAGTGGGAAAGTGGAGTTGAGGAAGAAAGGAAAAGTTATTCTCTGTCGCAATATAACCTCAGCCAGGGAAGAATCACAGAGCAAAAATGCATTGCCTTCCCAAAGGCAGGAATTTTGAAAGATTATATTTTAGATATAATCTGCTGCGCCCTGTATCCTTAAACTGGACTTTGGCCACATATTCTCTCAAAGGACACTTTTATATAGTGGACTGTGTACTGATGGTTCTTCAGAATAAACAATTGTGCTCTGTCAAGTGTTGCAGATTATAAGGGGCGCAAACAACATGAAAGCCTAAACAAGTTTTATTTGTTTTTCACTGTAGGGTTTGCAAGGTCTATTGAGCGTGAGTATTGTGAAACCTTTGAATGATTATTATATTGTATGTAGTGTGAAAATGGAAAGCAGGAAGGGAAGGAAGGTGGTCAGAGGATGATCCCAGCAAGGGAAGAACTCGTTGGGCTATAATGTTTGCCATTTGTTACAGGCAGCCAAGTTTTGATACCCAGGCAGAGAATTATAAAATTTAGCACAAAAACATAGGAAGTTCAACTTGTTATTTCCATTTAGTTCTTCTCTTTTTCAAAATATGATCCAAGCCAGGGAAGAACAGACAGAGTTAATATGATTGCCCTTTTTAAAGGTAGGCATTTGTGAAGAGCATTTGATTATCATTTGCTGCTTCCCTACATTCATTGCTAACATTAAGGAAATAAAAGCTGGGATGTCTTATTGTAGGTGTCTCCAAGATAGTGTAATATGTAACTGCACTTGGATGACATCCCTTCATATCTCTCAGGAGCCTCCCACAGCCTTCCAGAGGCCTTGCACGACCTTCCCAGAGTCTGGCAAGGTAGTAGCAGTCCTTGAGCGAATGGTTCCATGGGGCCTTCCTGACTTTGCATGGTTTTGCCTTTGTACGTAACCCCCCGAAACATGACGCCCATGTCAATTGCAGATCTACTGTACTGTATATTGTCACTTCCTATGACAACTCTTGGGTTTGCTGTTGGTGTAAAGCTTTTGGCAACATTGGGGTGTGAATGCCACATGAATAATTGGGGTATCTGAAATTCTCCTAGTGTTCTATCTCTTGAACCCCATGTAATTTCAGTTGTATTAAAATGTTCATATCTCACATATCCTTCCTGGAAAAGGTCCCTTAGTATTGCTAACAGCTGTAATAAAAGCTAGAATCCATGAAGCAAAGGAAACACATGAAACAAAACCCCAAAACTACAGCAGCAATGAGAAACGTGGAAGACATAGTAACTTATCTCTTCCTGAAATGTACGTTGAAACAAAGACTGGGCATAACCACCCAAAAGGCCCTTTCTTTCACACTCACCAACAACACAGTTAGTGATGCAAACCAGAGCCAGACCTTTTCTGAAGATCAAAGTGAGTTTCCTCCTGAGATTCAGATGTCTTCCTGCCCCAGGCCAGTCAGTCCAGGCTCTAAAATTCTCTTACTTGTATAACCACAGATTGGATTCTGCTCCTGTCCTTTTGCTTTGGGAAACTGATTTCCGTGGCATCCTCTTTAATTGTGTCAAAATACTATTGTCCTGGAGGGAAAATACACAAGGATTTTTGGGAAAGATCTGGACTTGGACCAGGCATCCCCTCAAAAGAGAACACATTTTTATTGAAGACTGTTTTCAGTTATCTACTTTCAAAGACTGTCATCTGTAAAGTAGGGCACCTGAAAGCCTAATAAGTTAAATTTGTTTTTCAATTTAGGGTCTTGATTTGTCCAAAGTACTGGGCGTGAGTATTGTGGAACTTTTATGTATTTATTATATAGTCTATATTGAGAAGGTGGGAGGGAGGCAAGGAGGAAGCTCTTTTCTGCCTCAGAATATGATCCCAGCCAGAGAAGAATATGACAAGCAATTGATTCTTCTGTTCTAAGCAGCCTATTGTAGAAGGAACCCTTTGCAGCTGAATTATCTCTTCTTTCTGTAGTAGTGTTGGATTCATGGTGTGTATTAGATCTTGAAGAGTTTGGTACTAAAGCAACAGAGTTGCTCAGTTTCCCTCAGAGTTTCAGGTGTCTCTTTGGATCTTAATATGTAGCATATGGAAATATGAGGAAATGCTGCCTATTGGTAAAAGTAAAAAAATATGCTATTTGATACATATTTTTGATCTGATAACCATGCATATATTACGGATAGCAATGAGACACTTTTCAGCACAATGTGAGCAGGTAGTGCTGCCTCCGGAAACTGCAGCTTGCAGAACAGCCAGGAGAGAGAGAAATCTGGATTTCTAGCGGGAATTGAGGACTTCAATTGCATCTTAATGTACATGGGGTCTAAGTGCACATCAATGGGAACAAAGTTTCTATCTCATACTGGTAACTCACAACTTAACTTATGCACATTCAGCTTACTCACTTGGCAAAACGTAAATAAATAAGGGGGCGGACGTTTGAGGGGAGAAACTTTGTTAACCCTACCTTAGGGAGAGTGTTTGGAGGTGCAGGGAGAATGTATTCTGATTATACAAAATTTTGGCTTTATGCGTTGTCCCTGGAACATAACCCTCATGTATGTTGAGAGTCACTTCTAATACAGAGATGTGAACAGAAACAAGTATAATGTGTTTCTCCTGTGATATACTCAGAAATGGGTTGTGAATAGAAATAAATAACAATTTGATCTTTTCTGTATTTTCTTTGAATATATTTGATGATAAAATATATGAAAAAGAAAAAAGCAAAAATCTAAAAAAAACCCCATTGTTTCCCTTTGTAAAACAACAACAGAGAAAGAAGAGATCTCCAGTAAGTATCCAATCCTCATTGTGACTTTTCAATTTAAAAAAAGAATTATTTATTTTTTAACATTTAGTCATGTGGTCGTATCCTGATTGATTCTGGTTCATGTCTTCTGGGAATCTGAAACTAAATCAAAGAGCCCAGGTGTGGGTAGAATTTATTCTGGGCTCCTTCATTATACTGTTCTTTGGGGAGGTGTTTCTGGGGGGGCGGGGGGCCCTGTCCTTCTCATTGGGAAATTTTTATACTGTAACTGAAATCACAATTGAAAAAAAAAATCTTTGATGTGGGCTGGAAAACATCTAATTATTTCCTAAAAGAGACCTTTTTGATGTTATGTCCCTCTACTATATTTTTGTCCCTGTGCGTTGGTCTGTCTGGTATCCTCTCCTTTGCCTGCTGTCCTAAGCCTTTTGGAAAATGATGTTAGACATTTCACTGAATCTGTTAGCCCTAAATATTGGGGAGGGGAACTTCAAGAAATGATGAAGAAAGCCAATGGGAAGAAAAAATCCAGTCTGATGTAGAGATGAGGGAGAAATTAGATTCAGCTATCATTTTAAAGCCCATTTACCTACTTCTCACTTTCTGAAACAAAATGCTGTACCAACTGGAACATATCAGCCCTTCTGAATTCAACATTCACTGAATGTTGCAGTGCTGCTCTCCAGGCAAGTAATGTGTACAAGAATGCATGGGGCAGGGTAAAAATATGCATTAAAATGCATTTATTAGTTAAAGTAACTACAAAAAGTGCATTACATTACAGATTATTTGCAAGAATTTGAAATCCAGAAGGTTTCTTAGGAAACATATGGGAGCAGGATCTGGCTGGCAAATAGTATACCCAAATGAACACCCCAATGATTTTTCTGAAAAGGGTTTTCAGATTTTCCGCATTATGCCCCACCTCCATTATTTCCTTCTCTTTGCAATTTGGTCGGCCTCTTCTCCTTTGTTATAGAATTGCTCTGTAAAGAAAAATGACTAATATGGAGGCAGCTGTGATGCACATGAGACTGAATTAGTTCAGATCGCTTTTCCTTTCTCTTCTGATGTTTCCTTGGTGAATAGGGGAATCCTTGCCTTAGAACCTAAATATGTGTTACATGACATTTCAACATGTTAAGCAGTTAAGAGAACATGACAGACTAACAAGTTGAATTTCCTTTTCAATTTAGCTTCTGGGTGGAGCAACTAGTGTGAGTATTGAGAAATCTTCATACCCTAAGATTTGTAGTGGGAGGGTAGAAGGTCTTCTGTTACTCATAGGATGATCCCACTGGGGGTGAAATTCACTACGCTATAATGTTTTCCATTTGTGAAAGGCAGGCATTATTACTCAATGAAGTTTGAATTCCAAACCAAGGAATTATAAAACTTAGCCTCATCAATAACTTATATTATCCTACTGGCTGGCAACCAGCATAGCAGAATGTCCAAGCAATTCCGTGAAAATATTTTCAAATTTTACATAAGTTACTTTTTGTTGTTGTTCTTTTACACATTTTCCACTATTACTTTGTCTTTGCACGTTGGACGGTCTGCTCTTCTTTATCTGCTCTTCTATCCCTAGTTTGCCTGTAAATTCTTTAGTTTGCCTGTAAATTGTAGGATCTGGAGTGGGAAACTGGGAGGGAGGGCTTTTCTGCCTCAAAATATGATATCACTGCCAGGGAAGAAAATGACAAACAATCTGTTCTCCAGTTCTAATCAGTTTACTATAGAAGGAACCTTTGTTTGGCTGTGTTATCTCTTCTCTTCATAGTAGTGTTCGATCCCTGTGCGTGTTAGATTCAGTCTACATTTCCAGAAATAATAAATTGAAAAGTTTGTGCAAAAGCAACAAGTTTGATCACATTTTTTCTTAGAGGTTCAGGCAAGTATGGAATAACTCAGGAAATAAAATTGGCTAAAATGAAGGCAGCTATACGGCACGTGAGAGTAAATCAGTTTCCTATGGTTTGCCTGTAAACTCTCATTTTCCCTCATGAAGTGGAAAATCTCTGACTGAGGATAAGACTATGTTGTGTGGCATACTTGTGCCTGGAGCTCCCACGATGCCATTTGCTAATCAGTTCATTTTGTTGTTCAATTTAGAGTCTTGGTGTGTCTGGTTTAGTGGACGTGAGTATTGTGGAGCTTTTGTGTATTTATTGTATGCTCTGGAGTGGGAAACTGGGAGGGAGGGAGAGAGCGAGTACTTTTCTGCCTCAAAGTATGATCCCAGCCAGGGAAGTATATGACAATCTGTTCTCCAGTTCTAATCAGTTTGCTACAAAAGGAACCTTTGTTTGGTTGAGTTATCTCTTCTCTTCATAGTACTGTTCAATCCTTGTGTGTGTTAGATTCAGTCTATATTTCCAGAAAGAATATATTGAAAAGTTTGGTGCAAAAGCAACAAGCTTGATCACATTTTTCTTAGACGTTCTGGTATCTCTTTGGATCTTATTACGCAGTTTATGAAATATGGTAAAATTCTGCCTTTTGAATGCTGAAGTCTCCTATTTCTGGCACTTCGGTGATGAATGATTTAGCTGTTGAGTAAAGACTAGCTAATAAATTAAATTTTAGGCCCACCCAGGAATTTAAATTGCTTTATTGAACCCCCACATCCTGGGCTCTAATTTCATATCCTTTTGGGGGGCAGCTGATCGCCTAGGGCAAAGGCATCCTCTTCTCTTCAGAAAATTGTTGTACTGGAAATAAGAATTGTGGGTTTTTAATAAAGGTGTTTTTTAAAGGAAAGGTCTGTAAGCAGGACCTAGCTGGTAACTAGTATAGCTGAACCTCCAGGCAGTTTCCTGAAAGCACTTTCAAATTTTCCATGTTATGCCCCATCTCCACTAATACTTTGTCTTTGCCCATTGACACTCAACTCTCCTTCATCTGCTTTTCTAACCTTAATGGAAAAGGAGAGTGACGTCCACACCAAATCTATCAGCCTGGTTACTTGAGAGGGACCTTCCTTTCAGGAAGCCATGGAATTACCCAGGAAAGGAGATTGGCTAAAATGAAGACATGTGAGACTGCCTTTAGATCCGTTTGCTTATTTATTCTGATCTTTCCCTCAGGAAAAGAGGGAATCCCTGTCTGAGGATGAAACTATGTGCTATGTGCCATTTCAGTGTCTATATCTCCCACCATGCCATTTTCCACTAGGCTTTGAAACATCAAATATTCATATAGCATCCTTTCATGCTATGATATGATCCTCAATATGGGCAAGAACTAGAAAGAGAAACAAAACAGGAGGGCCCTGCAAGTCTCCAATTTCTGTATCCTAAAACAGGACTTTGGCCAGGATACCTTTACATAGAGTTCTGTGTACTCATGGCTCCTCAGAAAAGACAATTGTCCTCTGTAAAGTAGCACAAATTATAAGGTTTCCAAATAACTTGTCTAATAAATTCAATTTGCTTTTCTATTTAGAAACTTGGTTTGGGAGACACGTTGAAAGTGAGTATCGTGAAACCTTTGTGTGATTACTATATGGTCTGTAGTAGTAATATGAGAGGAAGGGAGGGAAGGAAGGCTGAATGTCCAAGAAAGGTCATACAAATATTTCCACTATTACTTTGTCTTTGCAAGTTGGACAGTCTGCTCTCCTTTACCTCCTCTTCTAACCTTAATGAATAGGAGACTGAATTCCATACCAAATATATCAGCCTGGCTGTTAGAAAGGGAGCCTCCTTTCGAGAAGGTATGGAAGAATTCAAGAAAAGAAATTGGCAAAAATGAAGGCAACTGCACAACAAGTGAGACTGAATCAGTTTCTGTTGGTTTGCCTTTATATTTTGTTCTTTGCCACATGAAATGGTAGAATTCCCTGCTTGAGGATGAAACTATGTGTTAGGTGGCACACCTGGGACTGGATCTCCCACCATACCATTTGCTAATCAGTTCGATTTGCTTTTCAGTTTAGGGTCTTGATGTGAATGCAGCCATGAATGTATTGTGATTCTTGAGCGGGTTTCCTATATGATTTGTAGTGGGAAAGTGGAAGGGAGTTCGGGGAGGGGAGAGGAAAAGTTATTCTCTGTTAAAATATATAACCTCATGCTGGGAAGAATTCACAGAGCTAAAATGCTTGCCCTTTCCTAAAGCAATGAATTTTTTTAGATATTCAGATATAATCTGCTGCCCCCTGCAGGTCTCATTTTTTACATTTATGTATCCATAAATACTGAACTTTGGCCAGACACTAATATCTAATAAATTCAATTTGCTTTTCTACTTAGAAACTTGCTCTGCCAGAGAAACTGCAAGTGAGTATTGCGAAAGCTTAGTGTGTTTACGATATGGTTTGTTACAGTAAAATGGGAGGAAGAGAGAGAAGGAAGGAGGAACTCTTCTGTGACTCATAGATGACCCAAACCATGGAAGAACTCATTAGGCGATAATGTTTGCCATTTGGCTGGCAACTAATATTATTTGCCAGCCCTCTTTTCCAGAAGGTATGGAAAGATTCAAGGAAGGAAATGGGCTAAAATCCTGGACTTTGGCTAAATATTCTCTCAAACAGAGGACACTTTTACACAGTGGACTTTGTTGATGGTTCTTCAGAATAAACAATTGTCCTGTGTCAAGTATTGCAAAATATATGTCGTGCAAAGAACATGAAAGCCTAATATGTTCAATTTGCTTTTCACTGTAGGTTGTAGATCAATTGTTGAAAGTGAGTATTGTGAAAGCTTTCTATGGTTATTCTATGGTTTGTAGTGAGAACGTTCCATTTATTTCCATTTAGTGTGCTGTTGAGAAAGTGAATGTTTGTATTGTGAACCATTGTTTTGTCTACGTAGTCCATAATGGGAAAGTAGGAGGAAGGCGGCGAAGAAAAGAGTAGGTTCTCCCCCCCCAAAAAAAAATAATAGAATCCGAGTCAGGGAAGAACAAACAGAGCTAATATGATTGCCCTTTCTTAAAGCTAGGCATTTGTCAAATCATTTGCTGCCCCCCTACATTCATAGCTCCCATTAAGGAAATGAAAGCTGGGGCGTCTCATTGTAGATCTCCCCAAGCAGTGATTCATATGTATCTGGACTTTGATCTCCCTTCATATAGAGAGCACTTTTAAATAGCTGACAACCCTTCAAAGTAGATGGCTTTCCTCTGTATAGGTGGGCACCTGACATAGTGTTAATAGTACATAATGCCCAAGTAATTCCATTTCCTTTTCAATATAGGATCCTCAGGTGCATTCGACACTGGAAGTGAGTATTTTGAAGTCTTTGTGTACTACCTATATGGTCTGTTTTGTTTGAACCTCCCCCTGCAAAATGCAATTTTAGGTCCATCCAGGGTCTAAATTTGCCTTTCTAAATCCCCGCAGTTCTGTCTATATATCTTTGTTTTGGGCAGCTGATTTCTCTTTTGTTCAGAAAGTTTTATTTTCCTTGTATGCTCCAACTCCACTATTATTTTGTCCGTGCAAGTTGGATAGTCTACTCTGTTATCTGCTCTTGTAACCCTCATGGAAAAGGAGAGTGAACTCTACATCAAATTTACCAGCCTGGCTGTTAGAGAGGGACCCTCTTTTCGGGATGTTTTAGAATTACCATGGAAAGGAAAGTTGCTAAAATGATGGCAGCGATACTGGAACGTGAGCCTGAATCAGTTCTGATTGGTTTGTCTGTATATTCTGATCTTTCCTACATGAAAATGCGGAATCCTTGTCTGAGAATGAAACTTAGTCATCCCATGTCAAGTGATCCAACTCTTTACTTCATGTCATCCAATTTTGTTAATATTTTGTACACTTGTACAAACTATAATAGCAGTTACTTCAGGAATTTCTTTTAAAAGTTTTTCATTTAAAAGATATCTGTAAAGCTAGTGAGGCTTTTCTTTTAAAAACGTGTTCCAAAGCCGAGTTATAGCTTGCTGTGGCGTGATGGAATTAACGCTTTGAAAGAATTCTTGTTAGTACTTGATATTGACCCAATTATGTGTTACGTGTCATATCTGTGACTGGATCTCCCATACCATTTGCTAATCAGTTCAATCTGCTTTTCAATTTAGCGTGCTGATGCGAATGGAGACTTGGCAGTGAGTATTGAGATTTTTTGTTTTCTTTTTAGTGGGAAAGTGGAGTTGAGGAAGAAAGGAAAAGTTATTCTCTGTCGCAATATAACCTCAGCCAGGGAAGAATTCACAGAGCAAAAATGCATTGCCTTCCCAAAGGCAGGAATTTTGAAAGATTATATTTTAGATATAATCTGCTGCGCCCTGTATCCTTAAACTGGAATTTGGCCACATATTCTCTCAGAGGACACTTTTATATAGTGGACTGTGTACTGATGGTTCTTCAGAATAAACAATTGTGCTCTGTCAAGTGTTGCAGATTATAAGGGGCGCAAACAACATGAAAGCCTAACAAGTTTTATTTGTTTTTCACTGTAGGGTTTGCAAGGTCTATTGAGCGTGAGTATTGTGAAACCTTTGAATGATTATTATATTGTATGTAGTGTGAAAATGGAAAGCAGGAAGGGAAGGAAGGTGGTCAGAGGATGATCCCAGCAAGGGAAGAACTCATTGGGCTATAATGTTTGCCATTTGTTACAGGCAGGCAAGTTTTGATACCCAGGCAGAGAATTATAAAATTTAGCACAAAAACATAGGAAGTTCAACTTGTTATTTCCATTTAGTTCTTCTCTTTTTCAAAATATGATCCAAGCCAGGGAAGAACAGACAGAGTTAATATGATTGTTCTTTTTTATCGGTAGGCATTTGTGAAGAGCATTTGATTATTATTTGCTGCTTCCCTACATTCATTGCTAACATTAAGGAAATAAAAGCTGGGATGTCTTATTGTAGGTGTCTCCAAGATAGTGTAATATGTAACTGGACTTGGATTGACATCCCTTCATATCTCTCAGGAGCCTCCCACAGAGTCTGGCAAGGTAGTAGCAGGCCTTGAGCGAATGGTTCCATGGGGCCTTCCTGACTTTGCATGGTTTTGCCTTTGTACGTAACCCCCCGAAACATGACGCCCATGTCAATTGCAGATCTACTGTACTGTATATTGTCACTTCATATGACAAGTCTTGGGTTTCCTGTTGGTGTAAAGCTTTTGGCAACATTGGAGTTTGAATGTCACATGAATAATTGGAGTATCTGAATTCTCTTAGTGTTCTATCTCTTGAACCCCATGTAATTTGAGTTGTATTAAAATGTTCATATTTCACATATCCTTCCTGGAAAAGGTCCCTTAGTATTGCTAACAGCTGTAATAAAAGCTAGAATCCGTGAAGCAAAGGAAACACATGAAACAAACCCCCCAAACTACAGCAGCAATGAGAAACGTGGAAGACATAGTAACTTATCTCTTCCTGAAATGTACATTGAAACAAAGACTGGGCATAACCACCCAAAAGGCCCTTTCTTTCACACTCACCAACAACAACACAGTTAGTGATGCAAACCAGAGCCAGACCTTTTCTGAAGATCAAAGTGAGTTTCCTCCTGAGATTCAGATGTCTTCCTGCCCCAGGCCAGTCAGTCCAGGCTCTAAAATTCTCTTACTGTGTAACCACAGATTGGATTCTGTTCCTGTCCTTTTGCTTTGGGAAACTGATTTCCGTGGCATCCTCTTTTAATTTGTGTCAAAATACTATTGTCCTGGAAGGGAAAATACACAAGGATTTTTGGGAAAGATCTGGACTTGGACCAGGCATCCCCTCAAAAGAGAACACATTTTTATTGAAGTCTGTCTGTTTTCAGTTATCTACTTTCAAAGACTGTCATCTGTAAAGTAGGGCACCTGAAAGCCTAATAAGTTAAATTTGTTTTTCAATTTAGGGTCTTGATTTGTCCAAAGTACTGGGCGTGAGTATTGTGGAACTTTTATGTATTTATTATATAATCTATATTGAGAAGGTGGGAGGGAGGCAAGGAGGAAGCTCTTTTCTGCCTCAGAATATGATCCCAGCCAGAGAAGAATATGATAAGCAATTGATTCTTCTGTTCTAAGCAGCCTATTGTAGAAGGAACCCTTTGCAGCTGAATTATCTCTTCTTTCTGTAGTAGTGTTGGATTCATGGTGTGTATTAGATCTTGAAGAGTTTGGTACTAAAGCAACAGAGTTGCTCAGTTTCCCTCAGAGTTTCAGGTGTCTCTTTGGATCTTAATATGTAGCATATGGAAATATAAGGAAATGCTGCCTATTGGTAAAAGTAAAAAAATATGCTATTTGATACATATTTTTGATAGATTGATAACGGTGCATATATTACGGATAACAATGAGACAGTTTTCAGCATAATGTGAGCAGGTAGTGCTGCCTCCGGAAACTGCAGCTTGCAGAACAGCCAGGAGAGAGAGAAATCTGGATTTCTAGCGGGAATTGAGGACTTCAATTGCATCTTAATGTACATGGGGTCTAAGTGCACATCAATGGGAACACAAGTTTCTATCTCATACTGGTAACTCACAACGTAACTTATGCACATTCAGCTTACTCACTTGGCAAAACGTAAATAAATAAGGGGGCGGACGTTTGAGGGGAGAAACTTTGTTAACCCTACCTTAGGGAGAGTGTTTGGAGGTGCAGGGAGAATGTATTCTGATTATACAAAATTTTGGCTTTATGCGTTGTCCCTGGAACATAACCCTCATGTATGTTGAGAGTCACTTCTAATACAGAGATGTGAACAGAAACAAGTATAATGTGTTTCTCCTGTGATATACTCAGAAATGGGGTGTGAATAGAAATAAACAACAATTTGATCTTTTCTGTATTTTCTTTGACTATATTTGATGATAAAATATATGAAAAAGAAAAAAGCAAAAATCTAAAAAAAACACCATTGTTTCCCTTTGTAAAACAACAACAGAGAAAGAAGAGATCTCCAGTAAGTATCCAATCCTCATTGTGACTTTTCAATTTAAAAAAAGAATTATTTATTTTTTAACATTTAGTCATGTGGTCGTATCCTGATTGATTCTGGTTCATGTCTTCTGGGAATCTGAAACTAAATCAAAGAGCCCAGGTGTGGGTAGAATTTATTCTGGGCTCCTTCATTATACTGTTCTTTGGGGAGGTGTTTCTGGGGGGCCGGGGGCCCTGTCCTTCTCATTGGGAAATTTTTATACTGTAACTGAAATCACAATTGAAAAAAAAATCTTTGATGTGGGCTGGAAAACATCTAATTATTTCCTAAAAGAGACCTTTTTGATGTTATGTCCCTCTACTATATTTTTGTCCCTGTGCGTTGGTCTGTCTGGTATCCTCTCCTTTGCCTGCTGTCCTAAGCCTTTTGGAAAATGATGTTAGACATTTCACTGAATCTGTTAGCCCTAAATATTGGGGAGGGGAACTTCAAGAAATGATGAAGAAAGCCAATGGGAAGAAAAAATCCAGTCTGATGTAGAGATGAGGGAGAAATTAGATTCAGCTATCATTTTAAAGCCCATTTACCTACTTCTCACTTTCTGAAACAAAATGCTGTACCAACTGGAACATATCAGCCCTTCTGAATTCAACATTCACTGAATGTTGCAGTGCTGCTCTCCAGGCAAGTAATGTGTACAAGAATGCATGGGGCAGGGTAAAAATATGCATTAAAATGCATTTATTAGTTAAAGTAACATACAAAAAGTGCATTACATTACAGATTATTTGCAAGAATTTGAAATCCAGAAGGTTTCTTAGGAAACATATGATGGGAAGCAGGATGCTGGCTGGCAATATAGTATACCCAAATGATTTTTCTGAAAAGGGTTTTCAGATTTTCCGCATTATGCCCCACCTCCACTATTTCCTTCTCTTTGCAATTTGGTCGGCCTCCTCTCCTTTCTTATGGAATTGCTCTGTAAAGAAAAATGACTAATAAGGAGGCAACTGTGAAGCACATGAGACTGAATCAGTTCAGATCGCTTTTGCTTTTTCTTCTGATGTTTCCTTGATGAATAGGGGAATCCTTGCCTTAGGACCTAAATATGTGTTACATGACATTTCCACATGTTAAGCAGTTAAGAGAACATAACAGTCTAACAAGTTGAATTTCCTTTTCAATTTAGCTTCTGAGTACAGTTGGCGTGAGTATTAAGAAATCTTCATACCCTAAGATTTGTATATTTTCAAATTTTATATAAGTTACTTTTTGTTGTTATTGTTTTTCACACTTTTCCACTATTACTTTGTCTTTGCGCATTGGACTGTCTGTTCTTCTTTATCTGCTCTTCTAACCCTAGTTTACCTGTAAATTCTTTAGTTTGCCTGTAAATTCTCATTTTCCCACATGAAGTGCGAGAATCCCTACCTGAAGATAAAACTGTGTTACGTGATATAGTTGTGGCTGGAGCTCCCATCATGCAGTTTGCTAATCAGTTCAATTTGTTGTTCAATTTAGAATCTTGGTTTGTTTGATGTAGTGGACATGAGTATTATGGAACTTTTGTGTACTTATTGTATGATCTGGAGTGGGAAACTGGGAGGGAGGGCTTTTCTGCCTCAAAATATGATATCACTGCCAGGGAAGAAAATGATGAACAATTTGTTCTCCAGTTCTAACTGTTTACCATAGAAGGAACCTTTGTTTGGCTGAGTTTCCTCTTCTCTTCATAGTAGTGTTCGATCCCTGTGTGTGTTAGATTCAGTCTACATTTCCAGAAATAATATATCGAAAAGTTTGGTGCAAAAGCAACAAGCTTGATCACATTTCTAGACTACAGTATACATTTCTCTAATATATTGAAAAGTTTGGTGCAAAAGCAACAAGCTTGATCGCATTTCTAGACTACAGTATACATTTCTCTAATATATTGAAAAGTTTGGTGCAAAAGCAACAAGCTTGATCACATTTTTCTTAGAGGTTCTGGTATCTCTTTGGATCTTATTACGCAGTTTATGAAAATATGGTAAAATGCTGGCTTTTGAATGCTGAGGTCTCCTATTTCAGGCACTTCAGTGAGGAATGATTGAGCTGTTGAGTAAAGACTAATAAAGTTAATTTTAGGCCCACCCAGGAATTTAAATTGCTTTATTGAACCCCCACATCCTGGTCTCTAATTTCATATCCTTTTGGGGGGCAGCTGATCGCCTAGGGCATAGGCATCCTCTTCTCTTCAGAAAATTGTTGTACTGGAAATAAGCATTGTGGGTTTTTAATAAAGGTGCTTTTTTTAAAAAAAAGGAAAGGTCTGTAAGGAGGACCTGGCTGGTAACTAGTATAGCTGAACCTCCAGGCAGTTTCCTGAAAGCACTTTCAAATTTTCCATGTTATGCCCCATCTCCACTAATACTTTGTCTTTGCCACGTTGGACAGTCAGCTCTCCTTCATCTGCTTTTCTAACCTTAATGGAAAAGGAGAGTGACGTCCACACCAAATCTACCAGCCTGGTTACTTGAGAGGGACCTTCCTTTCAGGAAGGTATGGAATTACTCAGGAAAGGAGATTGGCTAAAATGAAGACACGTGAGACTACCTTTAGATCCGTTTGCTTATTTATTCTGATCTTTCCCTCAGGAAAAGAGGGAATCCCTGTCTGAGGATGAAACTATGTGCTATATGCCATTTCAGTATCTATATCTCCCACCATGCCATTTTCCACTGTAGGCTTTGAAACATCAAATATTCATATAGCATCCTTTCATGCTATGATATGATCCTCAATATGGGCAAGAACTAGAAAGAGAAACAAAACAGGAGGGCCCTGCAAGTCTCCCTTCTTCAATTTCTGTATCCTTAAACTGGACTTTGTCCAGGATACCTTTACATAGAGTTCTGTGTACTTATGGCTCCTCAGAAAAGACAATTGTCCTCTGTAAAGTAGCACAAATTATAAGGTTTCCAAATAACTTGTCTAATAAATTCAATTTGCTTTTTTATTTAGAAACTTGAAGAAACGGTGAACGTGAGTATTGTGAAACCTTTGTGTGATTACTGTATGGTCCGTAGTAGTAATATGAGAGGAAGGGAGGGAAGGAAGGAGGAATTTCCAAGAAAGGAAATTGGCAAACATGTGAGACTGGATCAGTTTCTGTTGGTTTACCTGTATATTCTGATCTTTGGCACATAAAACGGTAGAATTCCTGCTTGAGGATGAAACTATGTGTTAGGTGGCATACCTGGGACTGGATCTCCCACCATACCATTTGCTAATCAGTTCGATTTGCTTTTCAGTTTAGGGTCTTGATGTGAATGCAGCCATGAATGTGTTGTGATTCTTGAGTGGGTTTCCTATATGATTTATAGCAGGAAAATGGAAGGGAGATGGGGAGGAAAGGAAAAGTTATTCTGTGTCACAATATATAACTTCATCTAGGGAAGAATTCACAGAGCTAAAATGCTTGCCATTTCCAAAGCCAGGAATTTAGTTTTTAAGCATTCAGATATAATCTGCTGCCCCTTGCAGGTCTCCTTTTTTACACTTCTGTTTCCTTAAATCCTGGACCTTGGCCAGACATGAATGTCTAATAAATTCAATTTCCTTTTCTATTTAGAGCCTTGATCTGCAAGAGAAGTTGCAAGTGAGTATTGTGAAACCTTTGTGTGATTGCTATATGGTTTGTAGTAGTAAAATGGGAGAAAGAAAGGGAAGGAAGGAGGAACGCTTCTGTGATTTAGAGGATGATCCAAGGCATGGAAGAACTCGTTAGGCTGTAAGGCTTGCCATTTGGCTGGCAACTAATGTTATTTGCCAAACCCATCCAGGGTCTAAAACTGCCTTAGTTCTACACTCTCACAGCCTGGGCTCAGTCTCTATATCTTTGTCTTGGGCAGCGGATCTCCTTGGCATCATCTTTTGTTCAGAAAATTGTTCTACTGGAAATAAGAATCTTGTTAACTCAGATGGGGTGGACAGTTCTCCTCCACACTTGCCTCTTTCATTTGCAGTTGTTGTTTTTTTTTAATATAAAGGCTTTTAGGAAAGGTCTGCAAGCAGGAGCAGGCTGGCAACTAGTATAGCAGAACTTTCAAGCAAGTTCATAAAATTATTTCCACATTTTCCATGTATGCCCCATCTCCACAATTACTTTGTCTTTTCAAGTTGGACAGTCTACTCTTCTAACCTTAATGAATAGGAGACTGAATTCCACACCTAATGTATCAGCCTGACTGTTAGAGAGGGACCCTCCTTTTGGGAAGATAAAGAAAAATTCACGAAAGGAAATTGGCTAAAATGAAGGCAGCTGTGCAACACCTGAGACTGAATCAGTTTCCGTTGGTTTGCCTTTATATTTTGATCTTTGTCACATGAAATGGGAGAGTCCCTGCTTGAGGATGAAACTATGTGTTAGGTGGCAAACCTGGGACTGGATCTCCCACCATACCATTTGCTAATCAGTTCGATTTGCTTTTCAGTTTAGGGTCTTGATGTGAATGCAGCCATGAATGTATTGTGATTCTGGAGCGGGTTTCCTATATGATTTGTAGTGGGAAAGTGGAAGGAAGTTGGGGGTAGGGAGAGGAAAAGTTATTCTCTGTCACAATATATAACCTCATGCTGGGAAGAATTCACAGAGCTAAAATGCTTGCCCTTTCCTAAAGCAATGAATTCTTTTAGGCATTCAGATATAATCTGCTGCCCCCTGCAGGTCTCATTTTTTACATTTCTGTATTCTTAAATACTGAACTTTGGCCAGACACTAATATCTAATAAATTCAATTTGCTTTTCTTGCTTTTCTATTTAGAGCCTGGGTCTGAAAGAAAAACTGCAAGTGAGTATTGCGAAAGCTTAGTGTGTTTACGATATGGTTTGTTGCAGTAAAATGGGTGGAAGAGAGAGAAGGAAGGAGGAACTCTTCTGTGACTCATAGATGACCCAAACCATGGAAGAAATCATTAGGCGATAATGTTTGCCATTTGGCTGGCAACTAATATTTTCCAGAAGGTATGGAATGATTCAAAGAAGGAAATTGGCTAAAATCCTGGACTTTTGGCTAAACATTCTCTCAAACAGAGGACACTTTTACACAGTGGACTGTGTGCTGATGGTTCTTCAGAATAAACAATTGTCCTGTGTCAAGTATTGCAAAATATATGTCGTGCAAAGAACATGAAAGCCTAATATGTTCAATTTGCTTTTCACTGTAGGTTGTAGATCAATTGTTGAAAGTGAGTATTGTGAAAGCTTTCTATGGTTATTCTATGGTTTGTAGTGAGAACGTTCCATTTATTTCCATTTAGTGTGCTGTTGAGAAAGTGAATGTTTGTATTGTGAACCATTGTTTTGTCTACGTAGTCCATAATGGGAAAGTAGGAGGAAGGCGGCGAAGAAAAGAGTAGGTTCTCCCCCCCCCCCAAAAAAAAAAAAAATAGAATCCGAGTCAGGGAAGAACAAACAGAGCTAATATGATTGCCCTTTCTTAAAGCTAGGCATTTGTCAAATCATTTGCTGCCCCCCTACATTCATAGCTCCCATTAAGGAAATGAAAGCTGGGGCGTCTCATTGTAGATCTCCCCAAGCAGTGATTCATATGTATCTGGACTTTGATCTCCCTTCATATAGAGAGCACTTTTAAATAGCTGACAACCTTTCAAAGTAGATGACTTTCCTCTGTATAGGTGGGCACCTGACATAGTGTTAAGAGTACATAATGCCCAAGTAATTCCATTTGCTTTTCAATTTAGGATCCTCAGGTGCATTCGACACTGGAAGTGAGTATTTTGAAGTCTTTGTGTACTACCTATATGGTCTGTTTTGTTTGAACCTCCCCCTGCAAAATGCAATTTTAGGTCCATCCAGGGTCTAAATTTGCCTTTCTAAATCCCCGCAGTTCTGTCTATATATCTTTGTTTTGGGCAGCTGATTTCTCTTTTGTTCAGAAAAGTTTTATTTTCCTTGTATGCTCCAACTCCACTATTATTTTGTCCGTGCAAGTTGGATAGTCTACTCTGTTATCTGCTCTTGTAACCCTCATGGAAAAGGAGAGTGAACTCTACATCCAAATTTACCAGCCTGGCTGTTAGAGAGGGACCCTCTTTTCGGGATGTTTTAGAATTACCATGGAAAGGAAAGTTGCTAAAATGATGGCAGCGATACTGGACGTGAGCCTGAATCAGTTCTGATTGGTTTGTCTGTATATTCTGATCTTTCCTACATGAAAATGCGGAATCCTTGTCTGAGAATGAAACTTAGTCATTCCATGTCAAGTGATCCAACTCTTTACTTCATGTCATCCAATTTTGTTAATATTTTGTACACTTGTACAAACTATAATAGCAGTTACTTCAGGAATTTCTTTAAAAAGTTTTTCATTTAAAAGATATCTGTAAAGCTAGTGAGGCTTTTCTTTTAAAAACGTGTTCCAAAGCCGAGTTATAGCTTGCTGTGGCGTGATGGAATTAACGCTTTGAAAGGAATTCTTGTTAGTTCTTGATATGTATTGACCCAACTATGTGTTATGTGCCATATCTGTGACTGGATCTCCCATACCATTTGCTAATCAGTTCAATCTGCTTTTCAATTTAGCTTCTGATGCGAATGGAGCCTTGGCAGTGAGTATTGAGATTTTTTTGTTTTCTTTTTAGTGGGAAAGTGGAGTTGAGGAAGAAAGGAAAAGTTATTCTCTGTCGCAATATAACCTCAGCCAGGGAAGAATTCACAGAGCTAAAATGCTTGCCCTTTCCAAAGGCAGGAATTTTGAAAGATTATATTTTAGATATAATCTGCTGCGCCCTGTATCCTTAAACTGGACTTTGGCCACATATTCTCTCAAAGGACACTTTTATATAGTGGACTGTGTACTGATGGTTCTTCAGAATAAACAATTGTGCTCTGTCAAGTGTTGCAGATTATAAGGGGCACAAACAACATGAAAGCTTAACAAGTTTTGTTTTTCATTGTAGGGTTTGCAAGGTCTATTGAGCGTGAGTATTGTGAAACCTTTGAATGATTATTATATTGTATGTAGTGTGAAAATGGAAAGCAGGAAGGGAAGGAAGGTGGTCAGAGGATGATCCCAGCAAGGGAAGAACTCATTGGGCTATAATGTTTGCCATTTGTTACAGGCAGGCAAGTTTTGATACCCAGGCAGAGAATTATAAAATTTAGCACAAAAACATAGGAAGTTCAACTTGTTATTTCCATTTAGTTCTTCTCTTTTTCAAAATATGATCCAAGCCAGGGAAGAACAGACAGAGTTAATATGATTGTTCTTTTTTATCGGTAGGCATTTGTGAAGAGCATTTGATTATTATTTGCTGCTTCCCTACATTCATTGCTAACATTAAGGAAATAAAAGCTGGGATTTCTTATTGTAGGTGTCTCCAAGATAGTGTAATATGTAACTGGACTTGGATTGACATCCCTTCATATCTCTCAGGAGCCTCCCACAGAGTCTGGCAAGGTAGTAGCAGGCCTTGAGCGAATGGTTCCATGGGGCCTTCCTCACTTTGCATGGTTTTGCCTTTGTACGTAACCCCCCGAAACATGACGCCCATGTCATTTGCAGATCTACTGTACTGTATATTGTCACTTCATATGACAACTCTTGGGTTTGCTGTTGGTGTAAAGCTTTTGGCAACATTGGGGTATGAATGCCACATGAATAATTGGAGTATCTGAATTCTCCTAGTGTTATATCCCTTGAAGCCCATGTAATTTGAGTTGTATTAAAATGTTCATATCTCACATATCCTTCCTGGAAAAGGTCCCTTAGTATTGCTAACAGCTGTAATAAAAAAGCAAGAATCCGTGAAGGAAAGGAAGCATATGAAACAAACAAGCAGCATGTAATATGAACCTGGACTTGATTCCATATTGTTCAACTGCACTTGGACCAGCCATCCCCTCTAAGAGAACACATTTTAATTGAAGACTGTCTGGTGATAGTTATCTATTTTCATAGGCAGTCATCCGTAATGTAGGGCACCTGAAAGCATAATAAGTTCAATTTGTTTTTCAATTTAGGGTCTTGATTTGAACAGCTTACTGAGCGTGAGTATTCTGGAACTTTTCTGTATTTTTTATATAGTCCGTAGTGGGAAGGTAGTAGGGAGGCAAGGTGGAAGTTCTTTTCTGCCTCAGAATATGATCCTAGCCAGAAAAGAATATGACAAATAATCAATTCTCCTGTTGTAAGCAGCCTACTATAGAAGGAACCCTTTGCACCTGAATTATCTCTTTTCTTCATAGTAGTGTTAGATCATGGTATATATTAGATTTGGTCCACATTTCTAGAAATACTATCTTGAAGAGTTTGGTACTTAAGCAACAAGGTTACTCACAGTTTCCCGCAGAGTTTCAGGTGTCTCTTGGGATCTTAGTAGGCCACTCCCTTCCCTGGGGGCGGGGTTGCAGGCAGGCCCCACACTCCCAGTGTGGGGAGAGAGCCAGTGTGGTTAAGAGCGATGGACTTGTAATCTGGGGAACCGGGTTCGCGTCTCCGCTCCTCCTCATGCAGCTGCCGGGTGACCTTGGGCCAGTCACACTTCTCTGAAGTCTCTCGGCCTCACTCACCTCACAGAGTGTTTGTTGTGGGGGAGGAAGGGAAAGGAGATTGTGAGCCACTTTGAGACTCCTTAGGGTAGTGATAAAGCAGGATATCAAATCCAAACTCTTCTTCTTCTTCCCACCGTGTTCAGCGGGGGTGTGGCAGTGCCCTCACATCATGGGGGAGTCCCGGCCGCGTCACACCCCCACTGACCAATCCAGTCGGCTGGGGGCGTGGCTTATAGCATTTACGCAGCCACACGGCCTGGTTGTTCTCCATCTTGGTTCCTGCCTCAGCACATCCACAGGGCTCCCCCTACTGGTGGTTGACCCTTACTGGACTACCTGCATGTCGGGCAGGAGTCAGATATAGTCAGTTCAATTCCAATGCCTAAGCCGATACCACTCACATTCTGTGACCAATTAAGTTGTGGCCTTTATTAGCCCATTAACCTAAAATACTGGTGTCCATGTGTTTTATTATTCAACAAATGGGGGAAGGCTCAGGGCCTTGACATGCAATGCAGCACATGGAAATATGGGACAATGCTGCCTATTGGATGTTGAGGTCCTCTCCCTTATACACCTCAATGATGAATGCTTGAGCTGCTGAGGAAAGACTAACTATATACACACTTCTATATTTCAGGGTGTTACTGGTTTAGTTGTGAGTATTGCTGATACTTTTAAATGAGCAATATTTTGGTTTACAACGAAAGGGGCATTATTACTATTATTAATATTATTTAACTAGATGATACCCAGTAGCTTCTGTTGCATTTGTGTGTAATCTTTGCTTGTGGCCCTAGCGACATTAGTGCAGTCTGAGTAATAGCAGTACTATGGTTCTCCAAGTGGAAATGGAAAGAAGCAACAGGTTGAGCCTCTGCATAAAGTTGTTAACCCCATTCCCACCCCCTAGTGCTGCATTTCATGTGGGGACCCCAAATGCTTCCCCCTCAGAATAGTGCCTCATTTCCCACCCCCCAAACAGGGCTGGAAGGCAGGAAAAATGGCACTGAGCATGAAATGCAAATCTTACCCCCTGGGGGCAAGGGAGGCGCGGTTGGGGAAAGGAGTGGTAATCAAGAATCCATTTAGCCTTCTGATATCTTACATGGCTGAGTTTTCTACCACAAGCCTAGAATGGAAAACAGACAAATGTGCAGATTGGTGCCTCATTATTTGCATTTTTATCTTGTATTTACATCTTGTGGACCACCATGTGATTAAGGGCAGTATATAACAAATATATTAAAAATAAACAATCGTAAGAAACATTTTACAGTAGCTATGAGCCTACAAAAGCTTCCCTCAGTGTGGAAATGGTTTCCTTCCTTGGTCTATTTATTCAGAGGAGACCGACTGGAATTAATTACCTAAGTTAGTCATGTCCATTAATTTCAGTCAGTCTTCTGTGAGTAAAATATATATTTCTCAGTGATAAGCAAATCTTTGTTCTGGGTAGCCTCTCCTTCCTTTCAATTAAATGCCTGTTTGCTAGTCATTTAGTGACCTGTAGTGACTTACTTAAGTGTCCTAAGGAAACAGAGAAATAACTTGTGTCTTTTGCTTCTTTTTCAACAACAATCTACCTGAGCAGTAAAGAATTGTAAGTATTTCTATGTACATAGTCTACATATGGTTCATCTGTGTCATTAGCAATATCCTGGTGGGACTGAAATACTTCAGGGGAAAGGATTGCCTTTCTCTGAGAGCCTCCTATATGTGAAATATTTTCTAGTCTGTAGAGAAGCTGTCAGATTAGGGGGTAGGATGGGTATGCTTTGACTCAATCCACTTTGTATAACATATATACTCCATCATACAAAATGAAATCAAGACCCTACTAATAAAACTTCAGCTCAGTGGACTAGATAACATACTCAACTCTGATGATAAACTGGAGAGTTAAAGTCGGGCCTGTGGTGATACCACTCAGGGCCTGGACTCCTGAGAAATGATGCTCTGCAGATATTGTTGGATGCTAAGTCCCATCATTGTTGACCATTGGCTATGCTGTCTAGGAAAGATGGGGATTGGGTTCAAGAATATTGGTAGGTTGTCCCTCAATTCCCTTTAGAATAAGATTGTCATCACTAGATTAATTTATATGATTTACTTTATTATTTCCAGGTGTATTACGGACTGAACATACCTACGCTCCTGGACCAGATTGACAATGACTTCTTGCTCCTGCGCACTCCACATTGCCACTCCAAAGCCGATCAAGTGAAACCAGAGAATCACGAATCATACTAGTACACTTTAGATAATTTCTGTAACTGATTTTGTTGTCTTTGTAATAGAGGGCAGAGGGCACTAAAAACTGCCCCACTACCCCCCTGGAGGATGGCAATCGCTTTGCAAAAATAAAAGAAAATTGCAATGGCACTGAAATGGTTTGCTTGCTTTTTATTAACGGTCCAACTAAGAAATCATAACATTCATTACTGCTGAAACAAGATCCACTCACATGTCACACATGTCACCACATATGTTTGTTTTTGTGATATATGAATTCAGTAAATACAGGGCTACGAGGTAGTAAAATCACAGGACTCCACCTATTCATGAATTTTCTGCAAACCTGTTCAGGAATCTGGGCACACGATGACTTCATCCTGCAGTTTGATTCCCAGGTTGGGAATTTTGTTGGAATAAAGTTATAAACTCAAACCAAAAAGCAGCCGGTCCCTGTCCCCTAGCCAGCTTAGTCTTCCGAGGTCCAGGAAAAGTGTGCCAGACTGCTCCCTCCTTCTGCTCAGGCCTGCCTCTCTTTAATTTGTGGTGGAAGCAATGCAAGCTGGTCCAAGCTGGAGGAGCATATAAGCAGTGGTTATGGGAATAAGTGGAGCAACTAGTGGTCAGAAGGAAAATTAGGGGAGGAGATGGGTGGAACTGGTGGAAGGGGCTGGGCCAACCTTTAGGATTATGTGGTTAACTTCCTTGGTGTAGAAATAGCTGCCTTTTCCTGAAATTATGGAAATTTCATCATATGCCCACTCAACCAAAGCTGCATATGACAGGCCAGGAGAAAATCAATTTTAATGATTTGATTTGTTGTATTTCTGTGTTAGGGGACGCGGGTGGCGCTGTGGGTAAAAGCCTCAGTGCCTAGGGCTTGCCGATCGAAAGGTCGGTGGTTCGAATCCCCGCGGCGGGGTGCGCTCCCGTTGCTCGGTCCCAGCGCCTGCCAACCTAGCAGTTCGAAAGCACTCTCGAGTGCAAGTAGATAAATAGGGACCGCTTACTGGCGGGAAGGTAAACGGCGTTTCCGTGTGCTGCGCTGGCTCGCCAGAGCAGCTTTGTCACGCTGGCCACGTGACCCGGAAGTGTCTCCGGACAGCGCTGGCCCCCGGCCTCTTGAGTGAGATGGGCGCACAACCCCAGAGTCTGGCAAGACTGGCCCGTACGGGCAGGGGTACCTTTACCTTTACCTTTATTTCTGTGCTGCTTTTCATTCAAATGAATCCCAAAGTGCCTTACAAATAATAAATAACAATAGCGTAATAAAACATAAAAGAACATTACAAATACAGCATAAATAATATAAAACAATTAACCAGCCATCAATAAAACAATTACAACCTATAAAATGCTATTAAGAAAGCAGCAACTAAAAACATAGGCTAAACATCACAATTACAGTAAAAGTCATATGATTAACAAATCAACACAGCATTTACAATGTATAAAACAATATTGACAACAGAATAGCAACTTAAAAAATAAGCAAAGCACTGTTAAGGTTATACACAGACACTACATGCCCTCATTGAAGGAAGGTGAGGACAGGTGACCCCACCTAGGCCCGAAGTCACCCCCCCCTCTAAAGCAGGCTCAAAGCTTCTCAAAGCTTTTCAAAATCATTTTCTTAGCTAAAAGGCATTAGCTAAGCATCAGAAACATTTCGCTCTGCTGTAACAAAGGTCGCTTCTCAGGCTAGTTGACCTTGCCAAACAGTACGTTTGACTTGCAACTTTCTTTCCGGGAACTATGCCAGAACAAGAGATTGAAACATATCTGAACACTCTGAAACCCCCTTTGATTTCTCACCCCCCCCTTTCCTGTGAAGAGTCCCAAAGCAGGAGCTTTCTGTACATGCTCAGGAACCTCAACATGGGGCAGGACTCCTGAAGGAGGAGAAAGGGGAGGGAACTGGAAGGGGAATATATACTCTGTGGAAATGACTGTGAACTCGTGCTTGTTTGTGAATTATCACACTTGCTCCTTCTACCAGTTCATGGATGGTAGAAATAAAAGCTTTTTCTCCGAAACTATTCCTTGAGTGTCTGTTGACTCCCATCTCCCTTTCCCAGGCGCAATATTTTTCCCACCCGAGGACAAAGCCTCATAAGGCTACATCATGACTCATAATATTTCACTCTAGTCAGTTCATTAAAATACACATAAAAGGAGGTGGAGGTGGACGCTGAGGGGAGCAAGTGGAGCGGCTAGTTGAGTCCACCAGGCAAGAGGGAGAGGCCACGAGAAAGACGTTGAGTGAGGAAGCAGGATCCGACAGCCCTGATGAGCTTGCAACCGATGACTCAGAGCGGCAGCTTGGTCTCAGCATCCAGGCTTTTGCCCATGGAAGGCATGAAAGCAGAGCATGTCAGCTGGCAGCGGTTGAGGATGAGATGCAGGGGTGGGCAGAGGAACTGGAGAGTGTGGAAATGAACATGCTTGCATCCCGACCTGGCCACAGTGATCCATGCGACGGTCACCTCCAGGCTGGACTACTGTAATTCTCTCTACGCGGGGCTGCTCTTGAAGCTGTCCCAGAAACTCCAGCAAGTGCAGAATGCTGCAGTGAGGCTCCTCACAGGGTCTCTGCCATGGAAGCATATTCACCCAGTGCTTTTCCAGCTGCACTGGCTCCCGGTGGAGTACAGGGTCAGATTTAAGGTGCTGGTTTTGACCTTTAAAGCCCTTCACGGCCTAGGACCGCCTCTCCTGGTATGCCCCATGGAGGACCTTAAGGTCCATAAATAGCAACACCCTAGAGGCTAGAGGTCCCGGGCCCTAAGGAAGTTAGATTAGCCTCAACCAGAGTCAGGGCCTTCTCAACACTGGCTCTGGCCTGGTGGAATGCTCTGTCTTATGAGACCAGGGCCCTGCAGGATCTGATTTCTTTCCACAGGGGCCATAAGACAGAGTTGTTCTGCCTGGCCCTTTGGCTTAGAATCAATTTGATTCCTTCCCCCTCTTTCTTTTTTCCTTTCTCCTCCTGTGAAGAGGTTGCATCTTAATGTTTTAATGTTGTATTTTAATCTTGTTTTTTTAAGTTGTATTTTAATCAACTTGTTTTTATTATTGGTTGTTAGCTGCCCTGAGCCCTGTCTTGGCTGGGGAGGGCGGGGTATAAATAATATTTTTTATTATTATTTATTATTATCTCTGGGTCCTTGGGGTCAATTAGCTGTTCCTCCCCAGGATTCTGCTGCTGCTGGTGGTGCTGCCAGACTTCTTTCTCAGCAATTGATGGAGTTAGCAGGATGAGCAAAATGGTCTATAAAACACAAAACGAGATGCTAGGAGTCTGCCAAACACTTGCTTGGTGCCCTTACTGTCCCGAAAACGTGCTGAGAAGCCTTACCCAAACAACCTCACCTCTAATCCTTTCCCTGGGAATTGGGGTACAGAAGTTACATGTAAGCCTTCAGCATTTAGCAGTTTTCTGTTGTGCTTTGTGTATAGCACCACCACACCAACCTTCTAAAAATGAGTAAATACATGGATACAAATATTCCAGAAATGTTCTGATTTACAACAAGTTCTTAAATCTGCATGACTCACCCGCAATGGACTGAGTTGCAAAGCAGCATGCACCAGGCAGCTGCCTTGCATACAGAAGTTCCCAGGGGCTATCCCTGGAACCTCCAGAGATGGCTGGGAGAGACCGATGTCTGAAATCCTGAAGAGACGCTGCCAGTCAGTGTCAACAATATTGAGCTAAAATGTATCAATGGTGTGACTTGGTATAAGGCAGCTTCCTGCATTCTGACATGGCTATCCTATCCAAAGGAGAATCAAACACTGGATTGCCTAAATTAGACCTGTTTTTGAAATGGTATTATTACATTTCTATTATCCTGTAAATCTTACTTGTAAACCCCATTTAAAAACACTATGGGCTGGAGAACAATATATTAACTCCCCTCAAGTCTTTCAGCAAACTTATAACAAAACACCTAAATCAATTTGCAAAGCTTAGATCAGTGATTATCCAATAACAACACCAGTGTCCAGCTGCTTGAATCTCTCAAGGAGGTGAGCTGCCACTTCCAGTTGCAATGAGCTCTCTGGAGGACATTCTTTCGACTCTCTGGACTCCCTATGACGAAGTCAAATTCCAAGTGCAACTCTTTTAATAGCTACGCTTTGGAATGTTTTTGATTCTTCACAATAGCAGCTTCAACAAAGTGTATTTTATTGAATGGCTTTAGCTGGGACGTCACCTACCAATGCTTGTCTTAATTTCCTTGTCCTTGGCATAAAGGACACTCCATTCACCAAACAACTGAAGCAAGTTACATGCTGTTTTTTCTCGTACAGTATTGTCTGGTTCTTTATGGTGGACCAGGCTAAGATATAGAACCTCAGGGTCAAATTAGATGAGACCCCTTCACTTGCCTGACCTGCCTCTTCCTCCTCTTCTTCTGACCCATCCTGTGCACCACCTTCCAGCTCTGAAGCTTCCCCTGCCTTCAGCTTTTGCCTCCTGGCTGCTACAGTAGCCCACAAATCACTAACCTCTCTCAAGTCAGTGACACCTCCCCTTGCCAGTGTGAACACTTGTCAGCATCCTGCTAGTCCCTGACACACAGTGACCAGCCTCCCCTGCTGTGCTGTGTGAATTGGGCCGCATCCAACTGTATATTTAAAACAGTATGATGCCACTATAAACAGTCATGGCTTCCTGCAAGGACTCCTGTGGGTTTGTGAAAGGTGCTAAGAGTCATCAGGAGACCCTTATTCGCGTCCCAGAGCTACATTTCCCAGAGCTTCCTGGGAAGGGGGATTGACTGCGAAGGCACTCTGAGAATTGTTGCTTTCTGAGGGAAATAGGTATTCCATAATGACTGTCAGCATAATGATTGATTTCTGCACGTATTCCTAGACTGTATTGACCCTTCATAAGAGCAGTTTAAATGAAGCTGCCAGCCGAACCTCCCTGGGGAGAACATTCTACAGATGGGGAGCAACCATAGAAAAGTCCCATCCTGTCCCCAGGATACTTTGGTGGAAGATTCAGGGATCTCACCATTGGTGTCCACCTCTTCCCATCCATGACCCAGCTGCCAAGTGACCAAAACCAATGATTCAGTTCCCACTGTGAGTTACTCCTACTTGGCACTACAGTATGAATTAGGCT